TAGCCACAACTGGCCATTACCTTTAAATGTTCAACCAATGCAGCTTCTTCCTCTTGGGAAAGAATGGGAGAAACTCCAGATGTTAATTTTTCAGGGTCAACTCTCCCCAATGCTCTTTGTCTCAGTGTGGTTTCCGGAACACAGTATACCCTAGCTGCTTTCCATACAGACATTCGATGCTCCTTAATTGCATGATAGGCATCCGTCATAGACGTTGGGGAGTAGGGTCTGTATTTTTTTGTTATTTTATCTGATGCAATCTATAAAGAAATAAAATTATTTATTTACTATTTATTTTTATTTATTTATTTATTTAATCATTCACTCCTTCCACATGATACTATATATATACTTTACTAGCTTTCTTTAGATTTTTGAACTAATTTCTATGTAATTGTTTAATTTCTAACAATAAACCAAGACAATTATATTTGTAAAAACACTCAAAAACATATAACAGACACTAACTTTTGGACATCCCTGTATTTCTACTTAATTATGCTAGCCACATGACAGTCACGTGACTTGAAGGCGCAGACGGTAAGCTGCGTCTACAGTATGTATTTCGATTAATTATTGCTTAAAAATCTATATTTAGAAGGCAATTACATTTAGATATTTTTAGCATTAAGAAAATTGGTATTTTGCGTTAATATGACAATAACAGCTATTTACTTACACTTTTCTTTGACATTTCGAGTTTTTTTTCGCAGAGTCATAAGCTTCCGTGTTTACAAACACTACGCAAAAATCGATGACGTCAGATCTCGCACTATAAGAAAACGCGCGTGCCCAACGGGAAATACCACCGATTTAGGAACCCCACCGAATTAGGACCCTTGACGATACAGAAATTTTATATGAAGCGTAAATATCTAGGTCTGGTACAATCAGAATATGTTAAAAATGAAACATTATTGTAGTAATAGTTATAAGCTTTTATGTAACTGATGTGAAAACAATTTTGGGAAAATCTTCATTTAGTTTAATTTCTCAGTCTTTCAGAACAATTATGCTATCAACATTCTAAGAGTTCTGAGGCTACAGTTATTTTTTTGACCAAACTGAAACACTTATCTCTTATATGATAAAACAATGAAGAACAGTTTTGTTTCAAATGATGATTGGTAATTGTTCAGGGCAATGTGGAGTTTTCATCAGGTCCAGTCCAAAAATTATTTCTACCTATGTAGCTATTAATACCTACCTACCCGAAGTAGCTATTTTTACCTACTTTCTGCTTTACTTGCATTTTGTGGCCAAATGCAGGAACAGTGCAACATGGTGAGAACAAAATTTCTTAATACAGTCACATTGATGATGAATATGACAAAAATTTGTCCAAAAATGATTACTTCATATATTATCAATTTTGCATAGAAACTAATGTAAAATTGCCGATTCAGAAAGAAATCATTTTTTGGCCAATATTTTGTAGTATTCATCATTAGTGTGACTGTATCAAAAATAGGGGTGGGACGATATACCGATACACACCGATATTTTCCTCCAAGATAAGGTTTACGATACAAGCATTCAAATATCGGTACGAAACGATACACGAACGACCTATCCAAAAATTGAAAATGAAAGTACCTGTCCTTGGAAAATGGTGGCTTGTACGAAGCGAAGAGATGATGTTGATATTGAAAACACACTGTAGAACTAATAAAGCGTTGATTAGGGGTAAAACGTTTTCACTTTCAAGCAGCCTCGAAAGATTGGACAAGAAAAGTTCAGTATGTAATACGTGCTTTACACAGAAAATATCGTTTCCAGAACATTTGATATATTACAGTGTAATTGTTAATCCATCTCGTACTTTTTTTGTAATCTCAACTTAGCTACAGACTTTCCGCAATGAATTAATAATAATGTAAATGTGATCGATGTTTTTGAAATGAATTTTTAGTCAGTGTTCTCTGATTAAGTACACAACTATTTGTAAACAACTTCTGAAGAGTAATTTTGTAATAATAGTATGTACATGTATCAATGTTTTTGTAAAGTTTTAGTCAATGAAATTGATGAACTTCAAGTATTAATTTCAAAGCAAACATGATTTGATATAAACTTGTTGATTTAATGTCAATTAAGACAAAAAAAAAAAAAGAAATAAAATACTAATTTTTTTGAATAATTTATAATTTATCATAATATCGAGATACGTATTGTATCGTGCCAATGTATCGAGATATGTATCGTATCGCAAGATGTGTGTATCATCCCACCCCTAATCAAAAAATATTGTATTCACCATGCTTCGCCGTTTGGCCTTTTGGCCGCAAAATGCAGAAAATATAAAAAGTAGGTAAAAATAAATAGCTACTTTGGGTAGGTTTAAATACCTAGGAAGCTATTAATAGCTACGTAGGTAGAAATAGTCTTTGGACTGGACCTGTTCATACTTATCCTTGCATGCCAAAATGCACTCAAGATAGTGCACTAAAGTACATTAGTCAAGCAACAATCTAATATTAAAAGAAAATCTTTGATCCACTCCAATAAGATCTCTGTTCAAACTGTATAGCAAAGTGTACTATAGTGATTGTACCTTAATTATCTAATCAGGGTTCTTATTGATGAAAGTGAGTCATGGGTATTATGGGTGAAACGATACATTTCCTTCATAATGCGATGAATATTGTTAAATTTTGTCTCAGTATGGTTATTCTGAATACAATTCATTTTGAAAAAAAAGGAAACAAATCCAATGTTGTTATATGTTAATCACCAGAAAATTGCCTCTGCAAATTCATTCTACAGTAAACTGTTTCAACCCTATAGTGTATATTTATTTCTTAAATTTAAAAGAGCACTCCCCTAGCTGTTTTGAGAAAAGAAATGTACAGTTCTGGCATACTTACCTGATTTCAGCATTTAGGGATCCTATAAGTTGATTTTACTGCTCAGATTTGTGATAATCTAAAGACTTGGAAAGTTCGATAAATATTTCAAAGGAATATTTCTTTAATTTTTTTAAAAAGCCAACTGTTGATTTTTTGGGGGAGAGGAAAAATTTCTATTATGGGAAATCATGAGATATTTTTGTTATCTTTTTCTCAGTTAAGTAAAAGTTAGAGTACTTATTGAAATATTTTGAGATGCACATGTAATTTAATTTTTTTGATTTCTTCCCTCTGCATTCCAGATTAGATGGATTGTGAGTGACTTACACCTTGGGATTTTACGTGTGATGAAGGACAGAAAATAAAAGTTCAAGTGACTGTTAAAAATTTCCACGTGGCTTTTGAATGAACACAGCTCGAGGGATTGAAGACTTGAAAGCCTTGTATGCGTGTGACTTAAAAATCCCGTAAAAGTGGCTCCCGTGGTAGACCGCCCTCCCGAGGCTGCCCTCTGTTACCGTGGAGACAATATCGGTTACCGTGGGAACAGTGTCAGTTACCAAGGCGACAGTATGGATGGGGACTCGAACGACGAGGGGACGGTAACCGAGTCCCTGAATGGAGAAACCAAGCCGGACCCCGCCAAACTCGCCCAGACAGCCATCATTAAACAGGTAAGATCACAGCTAGGTCACTCGGTAATTAGGTCAATTATGAACATTAATTAAGGATCCACGCTTGAAGAAAAATTCTTCATCTCCTTTTTGCACTCACAGCAAAAAAAAAAAACTCCTCACTTTGAAGTATATCTCTATAAGAGGCATATTTCCTTTTTCTGCAAATATTTCTTTGCTTTGGTTAAAATTTTAAGCTAAAATGTGGTTCCTCTGTGATCAGCGAGTACCTATGACTGCCCAGCTCTCTTATAACAGGTGAGATATTATTTATGTTATGTATGTACATTGTTTAGCATTTTCTAAACAGGTGTGCAGGTAAATATATGTTAATAACATAGCAGACTGTGTATTATCATCCAATTAACATCAAGATATATAAATACACACACACACCCCTCACACACACACACACCCAAGAGGGGACCTGGGCTTGATTTCAGGGTGTTAAAGTGAGGACAGGAACTCATTCTGGGGACTTCTATTTCCATGGAGAGAATTTGAGGACATTGATATATACCCTGTCTCTATTAGTGTTGTGGTTATTCATGTATATTAGATATTTATGTGGGCCATTTAAAATGAAAATGAAATGAAAATAATTATAGCTGGACGTAATGAGATGGAAACATAATGCTAGGATAAATTTTGAACATGTGAAGTGGTGAGGATGGCAATTCTCAATTACAAAATGGCTTCCTTTATTTGTGAGTGGATTTCTATAACACTCTGTGTCGGGAAGGTTTACGTGAGGAATTCTGATCAGCCAAATTTAATCAGGTAATTTCTTTTGTATACTTCATCATCTTCATGAAAGATTAAATTTGGGTAATATATATTTATATTTTTTTTACAGTTGAAGTATTAAGAAAAGGGTCTTTATTCCAAAGGCTTTCACTCATTTTCAGAAGTATTAAGAAACACATTTAATTTCATTTAATTTTCTCAGGTTGAGAAATTGTCCATTGCTTTTATAATTTTGTTGAATCTGAAGTGTGTTGGAAGTGTCCATATCTTCTGCCTTTGTCTTCTGACTTACTCATTGTTGAATATTCTTTAAAAAATTATCCTCTTGTTTATGATTAATTGATTATCAATTTTTAAAAAAAATTCTGTATTTTATCATTCTTTATATATTTTTCTAAGATTATAACCAACAAAAAATAAAAATCGTGGTACAATTCAATCTTTTAGAACATGTAGAAAGTTTGGAAATTGTTACACAATTTGAACGTTAATTTTCTTTTTACCGTTTAAGTGGATTTTTTGGTGAGATGCAAGTTTTGTGATTCGTCCTTAAAAATTTTATCTTATTTTTAGTGAGATGTAATTTTAATGATTTTGAATTGCTCACTAAACAAATAATTTATGCTACAGTGTGCTAAAGAAGCTTTTAATGGCAAAGTCCATGTTTTGCACTAGGAGATCCAAAATAAATGTCAGCTCCAAAAGGAAATGGTATAGAAGGATTTGCGGATTAGAGATGGATACCCTTCAGTATATATAATACAGAAAGAATGGCAGTGTCCATGTTTTGCTGTGGGAAATCTGAAATAAGTATCTGATCATCAAAAAGTAAAATTTTGAGGTTCCTAAAGGCACTATGTAACAAAGATTCTGTGAAAGTGTCAGATGGACGAATGTACAGCATGTACTGTACAGATGGATGGATGGACAGACTGACATCCCGATGACTAAATTCCCTCCTATTTTTCAAGCAGGGGGTATGCTAGTAATATGGCACAATTAATTTTAAGTGATAATCAATTTGAGTGATCTCAGCACCCTTGCTAACAATGCCAAAATAAATTCCTCACTGAATATTCTGCTCATAATACAGTGTTATGTGATAGTACGTAAAACACTTTTACAACTAACTCCCTCAAAATCATGATAATGACTTCTTGCTTAGCGATTTCTCTTCCCTCTAGTCTTAAAATGTATTCTGAATTTATCAGGTACATGTATTAAATTTTAGGTTTATAAATAACAAATCAGAATGTTTCATCTTTGGTACACATTTTATTATAGATTGTAAAATCATCAGGCTTTGTTCAATACTTTGTCTAAAGTTGTGAATCATTCTGAGTTTTATCAGAAGTTACTCAGAATTGTCCTTAAATATTCAAAAAGTAGAAGGGGGATCTGAGGTTCCTCACCTAATGGGGGAGTTTAGGAAGTAGAAGGGGAATCTGAGGTTCCTCACCTAATGGGGGAGTTTAGGAAGTAGAAGGGGACCTGAGGTTCCTCACCTAATGGGGGAGTTTAGGAAGTAGAAGGGGATCTGAGGTTCCTCACCTAATGGGGGAGTTTAGGAAGATACCAAAGTAATGGAGGGATTTAATTTACGCTATGTACCCAGTCACAAATTTTCCGCGGAAATTTGTCCAAGCGTACTTAAAATAAATGTAAGGCATATAGTGACAATCTAGAAAATCCGCGTAATTTTCTACCCGCGGATTAAACAGAAATTGAAATTCCGCGGAATTATGACCCCGTGGAAAAAAGTACGTCTACAGTAAATAAATGAAATAGAAATATTGAATGATTTAATGTCGAATATTCCAATGACATATTTCAATATGAAAACCCGGTAAGAATAAACTTTTTTTTTTAGATATTGATGTATAATTTTGACTTTGAACAATTAACAACGATATTCCTATGAATAAATGTTAAAGGAGTTTTATATATTGCAAAATAAAGTAATCATTTCGTTCAAAACAAATCCTATACTAGTACTATAGTATCTGAATGAATCATGCAGTACCTGAATCCAATACTATTTTGTAGAAATGTGCACATTCCAGACAAAAGAAGACTCATTGACATAAGCTGGACTTTGAATTCCTCTTCATCTCTTGCACACATAACTTCTGCAACTAACATGGTTGCTTTAACTATTGATGGTAAAACAATCAGACTTTGCTGAAAGAGGAAATTTCAGTCGAAAAAATTGGTGATAAAAAATGAGAATACATGTAAAACAAAATGTATCTAAAAACAAAACATACTAAAAAGAACTTGTGCATCTTCATTTTCTAAGTTTCTAAGTGAAATTACATGCAATTGAAAATTACAAGTTTAAGGATTTTTATTTACTAGGTCAAAGTCTAGATAAGTTCGATTTGAACAGAAACCCAGTTTTGATTATTGTACATTTCATAACCAAATTTCTCATAAAAAAAATAAATGCTTGTTACAAAAATATTATTTTAGCATAAATGTAGATAATAAAAAAATCAACTATTTTGCATAAAAATGTACCGGGTATATATGTATGTTTTGCATAGAAATTTATGTTTCAGACACAGAAATTGAATATTCAAGAATATCTATATATTCTATATATATAAGTTTTGTATTTAAAACAGTATTGATTTGTGTATATCATGACACTAATGGTAAAGATAATGAGCAGTTTTCTATCTTTTAAAAAACGTGTTATCTTTGCATAAAATATCCAGCGTTTCTAGAATACACAGTTTAGGTTGTTTATTCATGATACCCAAAGCAAACAATATTTTAAATTTCTAAAACCTAATTTGATTTAATTCTAAATTAAAAATATTATTTTTAATATTTGGCTACTCTCATACCATCACTTCACTATAAACAAAAAATCCCTTCTCGCGCATTTCGGAAGAAAAGCAATAATTTTTTTCTACAATGTGCACTCAATGTTTAAATTTTTACCTGCAGGCTAAAGAAGAGGAGAAGTGATAAAGGTGGTCGCTGGCTGACTTTATAGATCAATCTTCGTCGTTCCAGTTCTATGTTGACAGAGTCTACATTTTTTTCATTTGAATTGGATTCTCCAAGCAACATGTGAACTTTTTCTGAGTGTTCCATTTGTACAAAACTCTCAAAATTGTCTTTTGAGGAAGATTGTCGAACAGCATCATTATGATTATTTTCTCCTTTCTTTAGATCTAGAAGTGCTGCATCTTCTTCAGCATCATCTGCACTGGTCAGTGTATAGGCGGGTGGTGGAGTTTGAGGCTGCATGTTGTCCGAATTGCTACTTGGACTGGTGTTTCCAGAATCTGTAGAGGAATCGACGAACAATGTTGTGCTTTGATTTTCCTGGAGGTCATCATTGTTAGAATTTGAAGAAGTAATCACAACACTGCTTGGCTCCGAGTCTTTATCCATAATTTAGGTCTGTTCAAATTCAAAGAAAAGGTGTGTTTCCATTTATATAGTAAGAGAAAGTAAAATATTTATTCATACCATGACGTAAACTTTAACAAACATGATCAGAATTTATTAAAATAGTTAGTCCATGCAGTCAGAGCCTATATGCATAGGTAATATTATTAGACCGCATTAAATACGAGGGTTGATCCAAAAGTAATGTCACAAGTGTACAATGTCCACATCTTTTATCTTTGGCATCGATATCAAATTATCAAATACAATACACAAAATATGCACATATATAAATCTAATGAACATTGAAATTTTGATTTAAAAAATCTTAAATTAAAATAATTTTATATATAGTTGCTTTAAACATAAGGCGCAAGGGGTGTCGCCGCGTCACAACTGAACGTTACGTTTACAGAGTATTTTGTTTTTAGGATGAAAAAGACAAACAAATAGAAGTCTAGAAATGCGTCCGATAATTTTAAAAGACAAAATTTATGCCATTTTCTATCGAACAGTTAAAAGATAAATGATATTATGACTACTTTTGATTATATACATTTTGTTTTACTCTGATGAATTGATCAAATGACATGTCAAAATGGGGGGGGGGGGTGCCGCAACAAGCTGTATTACATTTTTACTTCAAAATCGGTAAATTACCAGGTAGAGACAGTTACGTTGATTAATCAGACTCACAGTGAAAAGAATGTTGATAAGAGTCTTGTTATATCCCCCGCTTGAAAAGCGGGAGGGTATATAGTAATCGGTATATCCGTCCGTCCATCTGTCTGTTACCCTTTGGGGTACCCATCTCTTATACGCAACTCCTCTCATACCATTGAATGAAATTTAATGAAACTTTCACAGAATCTTTATTACATATTGCTATTTTGACCTTCTATTTCACTTTTTGATCTGTGGGTTTCCCACAATACCCCCTTATCTCATTTAAAAATATCTGCGTTCTTGAAACTTATTTTTTCTGCAGGCATTACTTTTGTGTACATGTAACTCTTCAGCTAATCTTAGCCTGACTTATATTAAATAATTCTATTTGATACATTTTACTTACTTTTAAAATTGGTGCTTTTTGTAGTATGGGCACTTGGGTCCCTTACCAGAGACAACCATCTCTGTCGGCTACACAATGCCCCAAGTTATTCAGCCCAAGCTATTATCCCTCACCTTTCATCTTCTGTTCAACCGATCATTGCCAAGTCTTATTTGGAAACCCTGCTTCCTACACATGCACAGAACTCGTTTGAATTTTGACGCCCTTACATGTTTATACTATGGGGTAAA